TTACGGTATCCTTTTTTGGAATAGGAACGATTTTTGAAAAATAGTTGAAAATCAATATATTTTTTTAAAGGAATTCTCCGGAACTAAATTGTGTTTTGACTTAAAAATGTGCTTCTAGATTTTATTTCTCGAATTTCATGTCAAAATGTTTTCATCGTTGACGTTTTTTCCTCTTAAAAATTCATTAGTTTATCTTAAAGATTCGAAAAATTCCAGAAAAATTTGTTTCGATGCTTTCCAAAATTCGAAAAAAAAAATTCAAAAACCAATGCTCGATTTCTCTAGATTAATCCCTATTTGTTTCGTCAATTACCCTCTCGTCTTCTCAGTAATCTTCCTCTGAAATCAGTTTCCTTTTTTTGCTCTCATTTCAGTTGTCTCTCTCTTTTCTCCTGAATTTTTGAATAGTTTTTATTTATTTTTCCTTCAGTTCCTGATTTCTATTTCATAATAATTTTCCAGTTGAGCGGGGATGATTTCAAGACAGTTTCTAACACCTACCCTGAAAGCTTAGAAAAGTATTATCTGAAAAATGGTAACCTAGAAAAATTTTGGTTCTAGAATCGTTCTCTGTTGTTTTATGGCGCTGAGAAAATGGTCTTGCAAAAATTAAACTTTTTATAAATTTTCATAGCAACTGAGGTGCAGAAAATGTGATCGATACCTCCACATTGTTTGTAATAGGTATCCCATCCCTTGAAAGAGCTCTAGAATAAGTTACACAGCTTTCTATGAGAATCATCATTACTCTAAAATTGACATTTTTTTAAATGTCCCTTTAAGTGCCTGAAAATAAACGAACATTCAAGATATTTTTTGGAACATAATATACAAGTTCGAATACAAGTTTTTCGCAGCTTAAATTTTTTTCTAATAATAATATATTTATTTGCAATACATGGGGAAATCGATAGATACAAAAAAACCTAAACGTATCGCAGCTTTCTTATACTATTTACGTTTGGGCAACGCCATAATATTATGAAGGTACATCAAGTTGACACAAAAACATGAGCGAACATTTTCAGATTTTTTTTTCGAGTTTTCGTTTTTCTGTGAGTCTTAAAATAAGAATTTACATGTAGAAAGAAGCATAAAAACATTTCGGAAGCATTTTTCTTGTTTTTTTCAAGAAAACAAAATATACATCTGAAAATAACAGTAGTCAAGGAAACATAGTGAGCTTAATGATACTAATTCTGAAAAAAACTTGAAGAAAGTTACTTTTTATGGGGCTTCGTAAATCATTACAATTTTATGTCATTGAATTACGGCGGTTTTTTAAGGTACCGCACAAATGCGCCCGAAGCACGTCACCTTTGAAGTTGGAGTTTTCACCTGTGAACTCTAATTACTTATTTTTTTTTGAAAATTCAAAACTACAGTTAAAAATTATGTTTAGGAATTGTGATCCGTTTCATTGAATCGACAAAAACATCCATTCAAATTTTGAATTATTTTTGAGTTGCTAAAGATAATATTCCTTGATGCACGTATACCAAAAAAACGATCGCATTTCTGAATAAATTAGGTCATCTTTTTCTTTGCAAGGGACAAGAAATTAATGAGGAGCTGAGAATATTTATATTCATAAAATCAATGAAGATACAAGTTGTGAAGATTGGTTTACCTAGAATTTCGAAAAACTATATTTTATGTAGTTCATTTTCAAAATCTCTTAAATCTATTTCAGATTTCAAACATTTCCTAATTTCCTATGTAGTTTAAATATTCAGATGTGTCACTTTTGTTTTTTTGTGTTTTTCCCTATATGTTTTTTTTCTTCAAAATCTGATACGAAGACACTAGTAAACCGATTTGGCTTATCTAGATTAAATTTATATTGCTTTCTCTCCAAATGATTCATTTTTTCAAAAGTCCATCTCTTATTTCCTAAATTGGCAACCCAACAGACAAAATGAAACCTTCCAATTCCTCATTTGATCATTAATTTTCCATCTGTGAAAAAAGACGAAAAAAGGAGGTTTCGAAAAGCTCAAGAAAACAGGAAAAAAAGAGACTAATTGTGTTGTTTCACCATCATCATGAATCTTTAATTAAAACAAAAAAGGTGTTGAGCTGGTTGTAAAATGAGGAAAAAAGAAGGCGTTTCTTTTTTGTTTGACACCTAGGAGATGTGCTAATGGTCTCAAAAAATGTCTGATTTTCAGATGTAGAACACACTTCTTGGTTTTCTATACAACTTTTAAACATAACTTTCGAATAAAAAAATGGTTTTGTTCGAGTAAAAATAAAAAAGTTAAGTTTCTTTCAAATCTAGGCTGGCCAAAACGGCGTTTACTGGCGCCACACGCCGCTTATAATTTTTGCACTGGCCGCCAGTGGCCGCCAGTGCCAGTTTTTAAAGCGGCGTGAATCGCCAGCAAAAGCTTTCACAGGCATTAAACGCCGGGTTTTTAAAAGATGAATTTTTCAATAGAAAATACTTCATAGAGAAAAGATTGAAAAAAAAAACAACAGATGATCGATCCGAAACAGTCAAATGGAATGAAATTGATATTTTTACTGTCATGCTATACATTTTTGAACGATCAAAAATGTTTTGATTCCTAAATTTTTGAAATTTAAATGTCAAGATCACTAAACTTCCAAGTTTTTCGAAACCTGAATTATGAAGTTCCAAAAATCGAATTTTACAACTTTAAATTCTAAAAGCCTAAAAAAATACTTTTGAACTAAACCTCGATCCAGACATAATCACAATCACATATTAATGGAAGACTAGTGGAAACTTCTCAAATACCAAATTCGTTCCAACATTTTATAATTCCCATTCTCTCCCTTTAACCTCAATTATTTGACTTCTTGTGAAACATATGACAAAACTGTCAATCGCCAAAATGTTTTCTTGACATTTGGAGCATTTTATCAGTTGACAGTTTTCTGCTATCTTTCATAAAAACTGAGATATTTAAGATTGAAGCTACAGTGAGGGGATATTAGTGAATCAAAAGGCAAATTCTATTCTCAAAAATAAAGCGGCGTTTGACGCCGGTTTCAATTCGGCCAGCAACGACCCTATTCAAATCAATCAACATTCTTATATTTGAAAAATGTTCCATCAGTATTTCTGGAGCTAATTACAGTTCCAGACAAAAATATATCACATTTTCTCTGAATAATGTTTGGCTTCTGAAATCGCTTGCCTATAGAAACCAGAGGTATATGATTCTTCTAACTTCGAAGAACGAAATCGGGTCGGATAAGATGGTCTGAGCCTTCGATTTTTTTTTAAATCTTTTACAGGAACTGAGATAAATTGGCTCAAAGTTGAAAGTTAGGGTGGATTCTATTAGAGTGTTCTCAGTAACCTAGATTCATAATTAAGATAATTAATTTAACTTTAAAAACAACCTCAATATGTATGAGCATTGCTCAATATCTATTTAAAAATAAAAGGATAAATCAAAGTAGGTCAAGTATCGTTTAGCTCCTCATCCACCCTCTTTCTCTTCATTTCCTGCTTATCTTTTTTCGCTCATTTCCTTTTTTCCTCCTATTTCTTCTCCTTTTTTTATAAAATAAAACAAAAATTAAAAGGATAGAAGAAGAAGATGATGAATTCGAGTGGTTGGTGGACTAGTGCATCTCAACTAATACGCAAACTTCTCTATTTGTGCATTTATAAATACCAAATCCATCATTCTGCCACCGCCTTCGTTTTTTTGTTAGTTTTTTAGAGAAATGGATAAAGAGTGAATGCTTTAAAGGGACGGACGGACATGCATAATTTCATTTAGCGGAACGATGTGACGTTGAAACACTTGGTGAAAGAAAGGCGATCGCCCCCCGCCAACTGATCCGTTATAAATCCTCCCGAAATTAATCCGGTTGAAGCCACGAAAAAGAGAAAATCTCTGCTCAGATGGCTCTTTTTTTCCAGAACAAAACGAAAGTCACTGCCACCACTTTTGGCGTAGATTTCTTCGGCTTCTGTGATTCTCTATTTCTTCTATCTCTCATTGTATCACTATTCAATTAGTTCAGAAACTCGGATCTTTTTCTTGAATATTCCATTGGTTCCTTTTTGGTTTCAGCTGTTCTCTTAAATGTCTCCTAAAACAGATGTAATGAGGAACGGTCAATTTTCAAGACGAATTAAAAATAGAAGTGCAATTCATCGAATCAGTGGCTCTGATATGTCGAAGAGCGCATTTCCTGCTGCATTTTCTGGATTTCTGTTTCTGTGATAATTTTGATCTCACATTGCATCCGTATGAGTTTTTTCAACACCTCTTGTTTACTTTTCAAAAAATTTCAGCATTACTCTTTTTATACATAGCTTTTTCAGTAGAACACTGATTCATAACCAAGACGAGCCCAGTTTTTGATAAATCAGCTTTTTTGGTCGTATTACTCATCGCCTGCTTTTCTTTTAAGCTGAGAATTTTATAAGTTATTATATAAGTGATTGTTGAATATTTTATCTGCTTTAAGTATTAAATCTATAAAATCGAATTGTCTTGAACATTGACGAAGTTTCAACAGCCAGGAAGTCATGCCATTTTATAAAAATCTTATTTTTGTCATCCATCGCAGAGTCACTAATAAAATATAGGAAAAAGCAACTTTCGAAGGTTCAAAATTATCCTTAAATAATTTTCTGGACCATTCAGGTCTGGTAGTGACACCCATAAAGGAGCAGGTACTTTTCGTAAGTATTTTCTTTCCTGCTTTTTTCGATTTTTCACTTTGATTTTTCATTTCGCAAAACATTGCATAGAAATCATGAAAACTATTGAAAACCCCGTCGAAGTTTGTCGAAAAATCGGGAAAGTGTTCAAAGAATAATTACATAAGCTCCGCCCATCCTCGAGTTTTCGGCCGCAACTTTCCAAGATTTAAAATTGTCAAAAACAGATCATTAGATAAAGAAATCAACTAAAAAAACAAATCCCTTGATATACCGTAAAACCTGTAATAGAAGGGCCCCCACAATCAATTCCCATGCAAGATATCAAAAATGCGTCATTTAACTTTAAGCCAATTGTTCTCTGTTCCTGTTGGAGATTAAAAAGTTGTTAACTGCAAAATTGTTTATCATAATATCAAAAATATTTTGAGAATTGACATATTTTTGGTATCATCCATAGGAACCAAGAAAAGTTATGTCAAACAAAACAGTAAAGGGGCCCTTCTATTCCAGGTTTTACGGCACTTTCTCGTTACGGTAGTTTCGATGCTGCTTCTATCGTTTGCAAAATTTGCTCTATATTTTTTTTTCTTTTAAATAATTTACCTTCCTTCTTTCATCAATTCAATATCTTCATGTTCCATTCTGTGTTATGCTCTCCAAACGGAGTGCATGTCGTCTGTCTCCGTATTTTTTTCTTGACCTGGTTCCAGTTTATTCAATTATAATAACATTTCTACATACCACCTGCAAATAACACTTCAACGCTTCCAGTTGTATTTTTTCTCCCAATATTTCGTCATTATTTGATGTAGTTTCCAGAGGTGTGACACACAGACGGTTGGAGGGTTTGCACCTCGTTTGGCTCGATGCTCAATTATGCATCTGACGACAATCGATGGCGACGAAGATCTTCGCATTCACAATATCTCAATTCTTCCATCCGATCAGTGTGCCACCGAGGATCAGAGAGCAGCGAAATGTTGTTGTGGAGACGGGTTTTTCTTTGATTTTCCAAGGAAAAAGTGTGAGGTGAGTGCGCCCCTGATTATTGATATCTGATAGGAAATGAGAAGTTTAAAAATGACAAAACAATAAAAAATAGTGAGAAGAAAAGAAAACCAGGTGAAAAAAGAGTTCAATCTCAAAGTTTCAAATTTTAACATCTCCATTTTTTCAGGTGTCGGCTAATGTTGGATTTATGTTTGGTCGTTTGAATAATGGCTGGTCCCATATGGCAGTTTACGGTTTCGCTTATCCAATGATTCTTCTGATGCTCGTTGCTCCATTGTGTGCTGTTATGCTGGGAATGGGAAAACGAGAAAAACGAGAAGGTGATCGAAGATTTGTAAGTTTCAGTTAAAATTCCATCTATTAAAAAAAATGCTTGTTCAGCCAAACCCATTATATCAAATGATCTGGCTTCTAACATTCTGTGGATGGCTCAGTGTCCTCTCACCCCTTCCATTCACTGTATGGTATTATTTTGTAGGCGAAGGAACAAGGTTAGCACATTCGACACTGACTAATTTCTTTAAAGTTTTTTTCAGATCTCTAAATCAATCAATAGTAATGTGTCATCTATTTCGAACTTCAATGGAAACGATTCCACATATGACTGATACTATGATGACTCTTTTCTCAGTCCTTCTTGCGGCAGCAAGGTTAGAATTCTTTCAAAAAAATTTAAATTCGGTATTCTTTTTTAGATTCCTAACCCAATACCACAGAAATACTCTTAAACTTCGAACGGTCGAAAGATTTTCTCGAGCCATTTGGGTCATCATATTCGTTTGCGTGGCTCTTGCTATTCTGAGGTTCTTTGAACATGATACAAAAGTATATCAGTTTTGTATGGGTAGGTATTAGAGTTTTAGAAAAATGGAATTTTCAAAATTTGGATTTTCAGATACGGAGCCAACTCCTCAATGGGCCGGTCGTTGCATGGTACGAGATGGAGCACTCATAAATATTGTGAATCGGTCTTTTTGGAAGGTTAGTTACAGTTTTAAAAAAAAAAATATGAACGATGATGATGCTGAATTTATTTTGAAGAAACATTTTAAAATGCCAAAAAAGATGAAAAAGTCAATTATTGTTGGCGTTGTTGTCCTCCAAATTCTCCCTGTCCACCTTGTTGTCCTCCCATTTGCCCTCCCATCTGACCACTCTCGGATCCTCCGAAATTGGATCCATTACCCTGGAATCCACCTTGTCCTCCTTGCTGATTTCCTCCGAATCCTCCTCCGATTCCTCCGGATGGAGTAGATCCTCCACGTTCTCCTGGTCCACCTTGTCCACCTTCTTGTCTTTCTTGTCCTTGAGGAGCCGACATGACAAGTCCGATAATGGCGAGAAGAGCAGCCAATTTAAACATGTCTAGGATATTAACAGAAGAATACTGATGAAAGTATGTCTATCTGTAGAGTATTCCCTCTTTTTATACATCATTTTTGATGATGAACATATGCAAATCTGTTAGTAATTCTAATTCATCATTGCCCAAAAATTTGTTCTCGAACTTTGGGGCGCAAAATGGTTGTTATGAGAAGATTTAGTGGTTTGATGGTGACGCACTTTTTGATTCGAAGTCGTCGAAACAACAATCGAGATCGAAATTTATCGTTTCGGTGGAATGGGTTCCAGCAACATTTTTCATAGGATATTCTGTAAATCTCAGGATCTCATTTTCTGAATCTGCATCATTCGATGTTCATTTTTCTATGCGTTCAAAATGTAATACGCAAGCAATTCAAACAACCTTTTCTTAACTTTACTTTCTCTATACAAAAAATAGAAGCCTACCCCAAACCGTCAACTTTTGAGCTAAATTATCTCAATTCCTGTGAGAGATATAAAAGACTTGTCAACTGATAATTTTTATCATAATATCACCAGTATTTTATCTTTCACAGGAACCAAAATAGGAGTCTGGAGATTGACTGTCAAGTTTCCGGTGACTGAAAATTTTGGAGAGCGTAAAACTAGATTGACAACTTTGCATTCACCGATTTTTTTGAAAATTCCTAGTTTTTCAGCTATTTGCTGATTTCTGAAAGGCACCTGTTTATTCACATTTTCAGTAAAAAACAAAAACACAAAGGGGCCTTACAGAAGTCGTCAGATAAGTGAAAATCTAGAAAATTTAGAGAAATTATATTGATGCAAAGTTTTTAATCTAGTTCTGTTGAACACTATTCAACATTTTCAAAGTGATCGGAAACCTGATAGACGAGCTCCAGACACCTGAAAATGGTCAAAATCAACTAAAAAATAAGTTTTCATGAAAGATAAAAATTAAGAAAAATAACATGATTCATTGTGTACTGATTAGCCAGAATTCCGTCTGTTGATCCCTTTCGCCACGTAGAGGCTCAGTACATGAAAGGGTCCCCCCGCCCGTCTCCGAGGACCATTGTTGGATAATTTCCAAAGTTCTTTTTCACTGCGAAAGAAGCCATGCATACGCTTTTTATTGATACTTCAGTTCTTTTACTTTTTGATTGATTATTTTGCAAAAGGGGGACGTTCAGTGGATTCCACCTAGCCATGAACCCCAAAACATGGCGACCCTTAGGGCCTTCTTGTACTTTTTTCGCATCAAAAGAAAAAAGAAAAGAACTGACAATAAGCAGCGCAATGCATAGAGCTTCAAACCAGTGAAAAAGTGCAGTGATAATTTCCAGCAATAAAATTCAAAGAGAGTGATTTCACAAAGAACTTTTTTTCAATATGTGGAATTTTTCCACGTAGACAGAAGCAAGGGGCGTAACCTAATATTGATTGATATAAATCCGATTTTTTTAAAGCTTGAAAATTAAATTTAATTTGAAGTTTTGAAAAAGAGAAATCAAAAAGTGAGGAGCGGAGCGACGAATAATAAAAAATATAGGTTACCGTAAAACCTGTATTAGAAGGGCCCCTCTAATTGAAGTTCCCTCCTAGAGACCTCACGAAAAATAGATTGAATTACTCTCTGGTTTCAAAAAATACTTGCACCTGAAAATTTGAATGCCGTTGCTCTAGTACAGATGTTTTTCTCGTTCGAGCAATTTTCGCAATCAAGCTCAGAGTTTTAGATTTAGAAAATTCTAGAAATTCTAGCAATCAAAATGTTATCAAGAAATCTGAATTTTAATCAGAAAATCCAACTAAATTCAAAGAAGTAATTTCGTTTGATATAATGGCGGACGAGGCCTCACGAAAAGAAATTTTCAGGTGCCAGTTTTTAAAATTTTAGCAATATTGGTGTTTTTCCTTTTTTTTACTGTAGAAATTGTAATGGATTTTTAGTAGAAAAACGAAATTTTCACTGAAAAATGATGCCCCTCCAATAGAAGATCCGTTTTCAGAGGACCCACGGAATATAAAAGTGCCCCCTCTAATTGAAGTGCCCCCCTAAGGACCCCACGAAAAGTATAAAGTCGCACCAGCCTACTATTTGCAAACAGGCTGAAAAATAATAATTTTAGAAATTAATATTTCTGCATCAACTTGGAATTTTAGATTTGTCCTTCCTCTAAAAAATTTACAAGAAAAATTTTCGATAGTTCCTGAAAAAGATTTCTTGAATCTGCTTCATCCGATGTTTATATTGGATTTTCTATGAGTTTGCCATCCGATTTGCAAGCAATTCGAATAATCTTTCCTTAGCATAGTAAACTTTTTTTCGAATCTAATATGTATCTTAAAAGGCCCATACTCCCAGGAGGCATCGAAATAGGGGGCATCGTGCTCAAAGGGGACATACACTCATAGGGGTCACTAACTCATAGGGGGCATCCTGAAGTTGTCTCTTAGGGGGCATCCCACCATGTCTCATAGGGGGCATCGGACCAAATGCTCCCAGGGGGCATTGATAGTCTCATAGGGGTCGATGCCCCCTATTTCGATGCCCCCTGGGAGTATGGGCCATCTTAAAACTCTAGATAAAAAGTTTTCGACTTCTCAATAGATATTAAAATGTAAACGTTGTTCAAGTACGTTGTTAGAGTTTTTTGAGTCTAAAAATTGTATGAAAAGATTCTGATATCAAAAACATCGTCCAGATTATTCGGGTCATTTTCCATGGTCATTAAGTAATTTGAAAGTTTTCAATCTGAATTATTAGTTGCGAATTTTTGGAAATAGATAAGGTATGATTTATTTTTGAAGAAGATTATCGACACTGTTAATGCAATACATTTCAAAATACAAAAATTATTCCAATTCAAAACTTAAATTCCTTGTTGCTGAGCATTTCCTGTCATTCCTGGTTGTCCATTTTCTCCCATCCCTTGCTGGCCACCAATCATTCCTTGTCCATTTTGTCCGAATTGTCCAGGCATTTGTCCTCCGTTCTGATCTCCACCCATACCAGGCTGTCCACCCATTCCAGATTGTCCTCCAATTCCAAATTGACCTCCTTGTTCTCCTCCTTGTTGTCCTAATCCAGCCTGTCCTTCAATTCCACCCATTTGACCTACTTGATCATGTTGCTCCTGGGGTCTGGCACAAGTAATAACCACGACAAAGGCGAAAACAATTGCAGAGTATGACATGGTTCTCTGAAAACGAAAACTTGAAAACTAGTAAATTTAAAATTAAGGACAGTTAGTTAAATGTGAATGTGATGCTTTCTACGCCAATCCAACTTCACTTTTATACTATTCAAATGATGCCGATCTAGACTGTCAGAGATGTCTGTTTCGGGTTTTTTCAAAACAATAACTCATCGATGTTTGACGTTTGGAGCGATCGCCTAGTGAACTTTTTTGAGGTAATGACATCATTATCCCTCCGGATATTCGCTGTAACTTGTTCTATTTTCCATTGTTCACTGGAGATGACGTCGTAGATACATTAAATCGAGACTCCGATTTTTGAAATTCACAGAAAAGAACAAATCTGTTGTCCTTTCTATTTGGTGATCATTTTGAATACGGACTTTGGTAGATGACCAGAATTTTCGAAAATTGCAAAAAAACATACGGTAATCACTAGAGTGTGTCGAAATTTGGCGTTTTTAACAATGCCAACTGCAGATGACTGTAGTTTCTGAATTAACTTTTAAAAGTTGAAAACAATGAAGATTACTGTAGTTTTCGGATTCATTTTTCAAAATTTAAAAATGAAGTTTACTGTAGTTTTCGGATTAACTTTTTAAAATTGAAAAATCGTTCGAAAATTCGTTTTTAAACTTTATTAGGAATGAACAAAACCAAAAGGAAAAAGGCAATCAAAGTTATAAATGTTGCATAAAATCACAGTTTTATCATTAAAATCCTTGCATATTTCATTAAATCCGTTTTGTTGTCCTTCTGAAGATTGTCCTTCGTATCTTCCCTGCAGACCTCCTCCGAATCCAGATTGTGATTCTTGTCCACCAAATCCTTGCTGTTGAGAACTCCCTCCGAATCCTTGAGATCCCCCGAATCCTCCCTGAAAACCAGAATGCATTATACGCGACTCTATTATGGCAAAATTCTTACCAGAGAATTTCCTTGTGATTTTCCGTAACCACCTTGCCCATTTCCACCAAATCCTTGATTGCTTCCGAATTCATTCATTCTGCTGAGTTGGACGTTGAGCTGGGAATTGTCCACCAAGTCCATTTTGAGAGTTTCCTCCGAATCCTTGAGATCCACCAAACCCTTGAGACTCTTCGAATCTTCCTTGCATCCCTCCTCCCATTCCACCAAATCCTGACTGTCCTCCGAACCCTCCCTGGTTCTCTCCACGTCCTCCGAAGCCACCAAATCTTCCCTGGCTGTTTTCACCAAACCCTTGTTGTGCACCGAATCCTTCGCCCATACCTCCGAACCCACCCTGATAAAGTGATTAAAATGATTAGCATACTGATGTTCATTTTTATACCTGAGAACTTCCGCCGAATCCTCCTTGCTGTCCTCCGAAGCCTCCGAAGCCTCCCTGACTGTTACCACTTCCGAATCCACCTCCCATTCCTTCGAACCCTTGATAATTTCCATAGGATCTAGATTGTCCTCCTCCAGTATGTCTCTGAGTGTTTCCATTCTGTCCCTGTTGACTCTGTCCTTGTTGATTCTGCACCGATTGAGTCTTCTCTTGAGAATTTCTTTTTCTGTTTTGCTTAGATGTCAAATTTTGGGGAGCTGCCAATGCAGAAACAACTAAAAGTGTCAGGACAAATAACTTGGAGCTAGTCATTTTTATCTAAAAGTAATTAAAATTTGAAATCGAAAAGAACAATAGAAAACTAAACGATGTTTCTCATTCAGTTTTCCCCTTTTTTATATGACTTCAATGATGTCGATGTGAGGGTGGGAGGTTTTATGCAAAATTCATTGAGTCACAGATTAATGTTGTACACTGAACGAACCCGATCATTCCAGGTGTTCCTTCCATTGGCTGATTTCGCTGTTCAATTTGTGATACCTGGAGTTTTACTGGCACTTCTTCATGTCGGATTTATAAGAGAACCTGAAATCGATATGGGAGATTTGACGAAACAGTAAGTGACTTTTTGACCTACATTTGGCTAATTTGTCCTACTTCAGCAATCGATTCGGAAGAACTCCTCGAGATCAGACACGTATTCTGATAACTACAGTAACCATCAGTTTTCTTGTAGTACAAGTTCCAACTGCATTCATCACGACGTTATCACTCACAATCAATCATTTTCAGAATAATAATGCTTGTAAGTAAAAATTCACAGTATGAGAATACCGTAGAACCTGTTTTAGAGCTGCGGGTTCTTCTAATGTTCCAAAGTACCTTCATGTGGCTTACAGGGGTCCTTCAATTAGACGGGATATTCTATTTTTCCGATAATTATTTTCAAATGTTTTGAAATTCATGAAAATCTATCGATTTCATAAAATTTGCTCAATTTTTTGGTTACAAAAAGGGTTTCAGCAAATTTCTGTTAAATTTTAACTTTTAAAAACTCATTTTGATTTCTATTGAAGGGGCCCTTCTGATACAGATCTTACGGTAGTTTGGGATTTGAAGAATGCCAAAAAAATGTCAAGTTAAAGGTGGGGGGACAGGAGATTTTACGGGGGATTTTTGGGGCCAAAGTGGGGCCAAAGCGCTTTCTCTTTGCCCGCGTAGCTCAGTCGGTAGCGGCGCCGCACCCTCAATCCTCGTCCCACACGTTCAACTCCTCGAGGGGCATATTTAAACGAAATTTCGAGAACATTATTTTTTTCATGTCCCCCCACCTTTTAAAAAAAATAAATTTTCAGTAATGCTATTGGCACTGGTCACTGGTCATCTCCAACCACTTCTTTCAATTACAACTATGGCTGCAAACACAGCTGCCCTACTAACTGCCTATTATGTAATTGTCAAAGTAAGTGAACTTCTAGAACTTTTATTCTAGCCCTTTTATTCAGGATGATGACGAAGATGTTGGTGATAGCCGTACATCAATAAGTGACAACGAATGTCAAAATGAGCTCTTGCTCCGAGCTCAACAATCTACGTCTCGACGTGGTACTAGGCAAGTGTGGAACAGTATCCGAAGGTAACCGCGACTCATTCAACTCATTTTCACCAATCATCATCAAATCGTTCAGTGTTTACAGTTTTTTCCGTTCTGTGTGACACATTTTTCTCTTTTTCTTCTATTCTTTTTTGCAGTGTGGTGAAGTTTGTTTTGGAGTGTTTTGCGGTGAACCTTCTCTTTTTTTCAAAACTTTTCATGATGTTAATTTCTAAAATTTCAGAATTTCTCGTACGTATCTCAGTGTAAGTCATTCATTTGACACTGGATCTCTTCGTTCATTTTCTCGAAAAGGATCTGCAATTGGAGACGATATTCTGTGATTTCAACGGTTCTTCGGCCAAAACTACATCGCTTTTTTTCTTCCTCAAACACGACTGTTCCTCAATTTTTAGTACCGCTAATTTCTCAATAATTATTGTATTTATTGATGCCTTTCTGTCTTTCATATTTCGATAAAACTTGAAATGAATTTTTGCTCAAATCAACTCTACATTTTGAGTTATTTAATTCAGGGAGAGTGTTTCAAAAAAGGGAAAAGTAGGTTTGAAAAAAGAATCCATCTACTCGTGTCATGCTAAATGACACTCCTCTACGTTTTCGGAAGTTTAAAAGTTTATGAGCTCATTACGAAGACATATACTTCTTTTCACCAAAATTTTGTGTTTTCGTTCTGTCAAGCCATCGAAGACACATTTTTCCCTGCTCAAAAAAGTACCATAAAGAGGATTCACCTCTTTTATTCAGGAAAAATTGGAAATTAAGAAATTCGGTCGCTCCTAATTCGTAAAATCAGAATTTCGGAAATCTCGGAATTTAATATTTCGGAAATTGAGAGATTCGGAATTTTGAGAATTCAGTTCAGAGATAAGTATTCGAAAACTTGGAAGAAAAATTTATTTATTAAATTCAGAAGAGTGTTTCGAACTTCCGAAATTCTGAGTGTCTGAAGTTCTGGAACTCAAACTGTAGAAAGTTATAAAAAGCTTACGCCCTACGTGGCTGAATATCCCTTATTGAAAATGACCTTATGATCTTAATCTGGAGGTTATGAAACTTTCAAAGGGCTTTAAACGGTGATTCAAACATAAAAATGTACCTTGCAAGTAAAATTCTATGATTGTCTAAAGATAAATGGCATAATGCTGCACGACGTTGTGATTTCTATGAGATGAAGCAACTTTGACACGCGATAACTCACTATCAGCTCAAAGTTGATCAAATAATGCGAAACTTGACCAGTTTACTCATGAATTATTTGAATTTTTGCACTTCATATTCCAGCTCAGGACAACTCTTTACACACATTTTATTCTAGTACAAACTTTAGTTCGAGTAAGTGCGTCACCATGACAAAAGGAAAAGCTGTACCTTACAAGTTTGATTCAGTTTACATATTTAGGTTCTTGAATTTTCAAGAGAGAAAGTGTTGTTGAACACTGTACGTTTGACGTTGAATCGGATATCTTTTTTTATCCGTCGACGGATCTGTTCGTGTCTATGATTCATAATACATTTTTTCACTTCTCCAATTGTACATTGCATAGTTTGCAAGTGTATTATCACCTGCTGTTTCTAAAAGTTACTCAGAAAAAAACCTTGCAACGTTTATGTGAGTTAAAATTCTTATTTTTCATTTGTTATCAGTAGTTGTTGACATAGTTCGCTTGATGTCATTCTGTGTATGCTCTTTTTATTTTCTTAACGTCCAACTGCATAGTTTGCAAATTTGTTGTTTTCTATGGATTGTTTCCTTTTCCAACCATTTACCTACATTCCTTTTCTAGCTATCTTCTAAGGAACTCGAATGCACATGTATATTCTACTTGTGCTCTCAATCATACTTTCTACGTCATAACATCCCTTTTGTTGTTCTCTGTCTCCAGACGCTGGTTGTTATTTTTAACCCGCAGGATTCTAAATTCTGCTCCTTCTCCTGCAGCTGCTCTGTATCAATTTAGTTTCCAGTGGTCCAGGATTGTGCTGTGACGTACACAAAAAAAAAAAAGAAATTGATGAAAGCATGCACGATGACGTAGAGATGTCCAAGGAGGTCCCTAAAGACAAGAGAGCAGGTGAGACGAAGAGACGCAGAGAAATATGGGAAACAGATGATTCTTATCTGTCTTTGTCTCTTCGTACTGACCTTTCTCTATCGTTCTGTTTGTTATTTTGTTGTATTGTCTGCGCATACGCATCTATTACTTCCCCCCCCCCCCCTCTAGCATGCATAGATTCATGATTTTTGCTCAATTTTGAAAGATAGGCGGAGTCAGATATATACAGCGTCAATGTGCTCTAGGAGACTAAATCGTCATCAAAAACCTCATTAGAAAAAGTTTGTATATAAGAATGAATAGAAGTTGAAAAGCTACTGACTCTCAAATTTGCTAGGCATAGATATTATGGTATTATTCTAATACAAAAAAAAACCGGGCTGTGCACTTTGGAAGAGAAACGCCTTTAGTCATGACCGAAGGTCCCACAACGACAACTACAGTAGCCTAAAAAAATGTTTGCTTGTTTCACCGATTTTTTCTCGATTTTCACTGTTTTTCGTCCAGTTTTCTGTTATTTTTCCCAAAAATTTGGAGAATGAAAATTTTGGATAGTGAAGAAAACTTCGGATTAAAAATTGACTGAAAACGCTTTCCAACACCTTCCGATATGTTGTACCCATTGTCCTAAGAACAACAATTTCTTGACAACTCGAGAACATGGGCCAGCTAAACAAACAATCATCATCTTCCTTTTTCTTATTTTTCCTCTTATATCAAATCGATCAATCCGCTAATAAAAGAAGAAACGTATTTTTCATTAACATGGTTCCCTCCGGTTCACCTAAAAATAGAAAATTCTTCATTTCGACTTGAATGTTCTAGTCGGACAACAGGTTTTCATTCTTTCTTTCTCCCTTTTTGTATCTATTTCCGATGACTCACACTATTTATTCTGATATGATTTTGTTTGTTATCATACCTTTTTTTCGTTTTCATTTGCCATTCTTTTGAACTCTTCATGTTTGCTTTCCTCACTTCAATTTGTTTTTTTTCTTCCGCTAACTTCTAGATTCAAAAAGTTTCTGTCATTTACAGAACCGCACAAAAATGAACCAACCATCAGCTCTTGGGCTGAACGAATCCCGTCCAAAGACTAATGTCCGGCTGACAATTTCAGCAAAGTTTGTTTCGTTTCGTTTTTTCAATCGTCAATTTGTTTGAATTACAGTAACCTAATGGACCTTGATGTCTTTTCAGTAAGTGACCCAATTTGCATAATTTACGAGAAAACGAGTGGAAGAAAAGCGACGACGACTGATTCAATAACTCTTCCAACTTGGAGAGACCGTCAATGGACTGAAAGAGGAAGAACTGAAATTGTGTGGAATGATTTGAATCCTCAATTCAAGACGACGTTCCTACTACCGTACTTTTTCGAAGAGACTCAGTTACTTCGTTTTGAGTTGTGAGTTGGAGAATGCTACGAAATCTGTTAAAATTTCTATTATTCCAGATACGACGTCGATAGTAAAATTGTGGGAACAGATTTGACTGCTCATGATTTTTTGGGTCGATTCGAATGTGTTCTTGCCCAGATTGTCAGCTATTCCACATTCAGAGCTCATCTCGGAGGGCAAGAACAAATTGGATGTCAAGTGAAACCAAAGTAAGGCATTCAAAAGATATTTTTGGTAGACTTATGTATTCAAATTTTATAATTTTAGAGACAAAAACTCAAAGAACGGAACTATAACAATTCGTGCTGAAGAGGACGAGAAAAATGAAAAAATACAATTCGATGTGTGTGGAGAAGGACTTGATCGTAAAGATTTCTTCGGGAAATCGGATCCATATCTCAATTTTAAAAGAAGATTCGACGATGGAAGTTCTCATATGATTCATCAAACAGAAGTCAAACCAAAGACTTTGAATCCGAGATGGGCAACTGTTCAGATTAACACACAGGCTCTTTGTGGAAAGAATCCAGACCGCCCAATTATAATCGAATGCTATGACCACGAGAAATTCAAGAAACAGTTAGTTTTATAAGAGGAGTATGTCTACTAAATTACAAATCTTCAGGAATGATATCATCGGAGTTTCTCAAATCAGTCTTGGTCAATTGTTGTCAGAAGCTGGGAAAACAGGAGCGACGCTCCAAATTCCTGTAAGAAAATTTTCAAGTTTATTTAGTCTTTTGGAAATTTAATTTCCTTTTGGAAGATTCTCCTTTTTCAGAAAAAAATATATATTGAATGCTTTAGTAACATTTTGTTAAGCTAAACTTCAAGAATTATTGTGCTCTAAAGGATTAAAGAAAACATGCACTATCCCACACTGGTAAACCATACCCTTGCATGTTTTCGCAGACCATCATATTTTCTTTTAGAATCAATAATTTTGAACCAACTGTTTTAGATATGATAGAACTCGACAAATACTACAAAATTGTATAATTCCGAAAACTGTGTCTTGTCTATAAACAAAGTTACAAGCCAAACGGCCGAAAACAGGCAGGGCCCATTTAGTTGGTCAAAAATAATTGATTCTGAAAGGAACTATGGCAGGGCCCGTTTTACAAGTATGCTTTATCCCTTTCTCCATGAGTTTTTTTTGAGTTGCCTGGTCCTTGAAGTGTTTATTTTCTTTCAAACTCATTTTTTTTCTATTTTCAGTTGATCAACGAGAAGAAGAAGGCAAAGAAAAGTAAATACAAAAACGCTGGAATATTAAAATTCTGGAATGCGAAAATCGTCATCGAGCCCACATTTCTTGATTTCATTTCCGGCGGAACCCAATTGGATTTTGCTGTTGCTGTTGATTTTACAGCTTCAAATGGAAATCCAGCTCAATCGTCTTCTCTTCATTATATGGCGTCCGGATATCCAAACCAATACGAAATTGCTCTGAGAGCTGTTCTGAGCATTTGCCAGCACTACAACTCATCCAAAACGTTTGAAGCTTATGGTTTTGGAGCGAAATTGCCTGGACAACATGGAGTTTCTGCAGTTTTTCCATTGGATCTTCGCGCTCACAATCCATCAGTCGTTGGAATAAATGGAGTGATGTCCGCCTATCGTCATGCTCTTCAGAGTGTTACTCTTTACGGACCAACGAATTTCTCTCCAATTATTGAACAAGTAGCAAAGAAAGCACAGAGAATGATAAACAGTACTGCCAGATATCAGGCGAGAAAGAATAATTTCTAGAATTTCTGAAAATTGTATTTTTTTTCAGATTCTTCTGATCATTACAGATGGAATCATTTCGGATATGTACGCTACGATTAACACTGTTATTAGTGTAAGATTTACTTTCAAATTCGAAAGTTACAATTTCAAACTTTTCAGGCATCCGGTCTTCCCCTTTCCATTATCATCGTTGGTGTTGGAAACGAAGATTTTGAGAGAATGCACGAATTGGACAGTGATGACGCACTTCTTCAACAAGACTCAAGAATTGCTCAACGAGATATTGTCCAATTTGTGACAATGCGCGATTTCTTGAATCGGTCGACTGGCGGATATCTAGATACCGACACTGTTATGGAGAATCTGGCACGCGAAGTACTGTATGAAGTGCCTGCTCAGCTGACAGGCTACATGAAACAGAGAGGATTCGGACCAAGAAGTGCAGATGATCCATGGCAAAGAGATTCTCCTCCAGATGACTACGATCCGATGATGGATCATGTTCATTATAACAATACAGCAACTGCTCCACCCCTATATCCACAAGTCTAGTGCATACTTTTTTACTCTTTTATCTCATCTGAATACCTCATTTTTTTGTTGATTCGCTTCTTTGTCTTTCAAATAAAGTATTTTCAGAATCAAAGAAATTTTTCATTCAAAGTTCGTATCAAAGTTGTCTAATTGAGAAAAAGCATGGACCCGATTTGAGATCATCACGAGCTACACAGTAATAGTTCACAATAGTTATTCAATTCTATAAAATGTATCAATTAAATGGCAGTCGGCTCAATATTCGTTGAAGGGACTAAACTCGTCATGTAGTAACTTTTTGCATCCGTAGGTCTTCGACGAATTTTATTGACGAATCGATCAACGGAAGATCGGATTGCTTTGATTCGGAGAGTGTAGATGAAGGGATTCGAGGCAAGTTTCACCATTACCTAAAATAAGAAATTAAAATTATATGGATTTTTATCGAACGGCAACTCACCAAACTATTAACAGTGGAGCTAAGGAAAAGACTCATATAAAGTCCAATGTTCTCTCGATAGATAATGATGCATCCCTCGGCACAAACCATCACAAAGTACAGAACACAGAGTCCCCAAGACAATGAAAATGTGGATACAATCAGAAGAGTTGTCCATACCAACTTTAGTTTTGAGTATACATTTGTGGATCGAGTACTCAAACTTCTGGCAGCTCTGAAATAGTTTTTTTTTAATTTTTGACAAATTTATAGTTGATACAACTTACGGTGTCTTGTTGTTCTTATTAAAGTTATTGTTTGGACTGCTGCTCTTCATTTTCTGATCACTACAATACGTTTCAAATTCCACTTTCGCTTTGAGAAGTTTGACAAGAATACATCCATAAATAATGAGAGTTGAGATCAAAGGGAGCATGAAGATCAAGAAGATTGTGATACGGAATGGGAAACGATTGTAGAATGTGAAATTGCATGTTGGATGGCGCAGACCATCGTCTTCTTTTGCCACGAACCATCCGAAAACGAACATCAGTGGAACTGTCCAGAGAGCAATGATGATGGTACGGATACGACGAGTGGTTATCATAATCTGGAATTTCATAAAATGAAAAACATAATTCAGATTCGATTGTATTCTAGGAATCGGAAAGAATCAAAAACGAACAAACCTTATATTTTAAAGGGTACATAGTTCCAAAGAATTGATTGATTGCCAATGCAAATAAATGAAGATCCGAAGTTAACATTCCAGATATTCGAAACATTTCAAGAACAGCTTCAAAGCACATGGACTTCTTTTGATATCCAAATATTACCGGAAGATATGAGTTAACAATTAGTCCTAAAAATATTGATTTTGATATTGTTATAATTCTTTAAAAACTTACCAGTTATTAATAAAAGAGCAGCCCAAGTGTCAGCTGCTGCAAGGGAAATGCACAGTTTCAAATAAGGAGATACTGGCGATGAGAGCCATTTTGCTGATATACAAATCAATCCATTTCCAATAATTGCTACCTGAAAGTGTTGCTTGATTATAACTTTTTTTTTCAAAAATACATTTAATATTCCCCATGTCATTTTGAATTCCTAAACACCAAAACATCCATGATTCATTATTTTCAACGAGGATGTTTTCAGAAGTTTTTGATTTAACCACCGGATAATAAAATAATCTGATTGAATTTTGGTGATAACTATTTATGATATTCATGATCTTCCACCCCCTTCCCGACCTCAATTTCAGGTACATTCATTAAAAAAAAGGGTTTTATTTCAAAGGAAGTAACTGGAATAATCCTAGCAGCCTAGCTAGAAATTCATCTCAATGATTTTGAGACTTACCAAAAGAATGATGATCATAAGAGGAATCAGCCAGTGATAAATAGTCTTGACTCTTTTCACATAGTCCAAAACTTCCTGGCTCACAGAATACTGCGTCGTGGCAACAACTGAAGATGAGTTGTCGAGAAGAGCATCAACAAGAATCGGTGCAATTGTGGATGTGAACATGACGTCTTCTGAAAGAATACATAGAAATTAATAGACGTGGAAAAGGTTTATGGCTGAAAACGAAAAAAGTAACACCAAAGAAGCAAAAAGAAGGAAAGTGAGGAAGTTCGAGTAATTTGTTGTTTTTGAAATTTTCGCCGCCGCCGGAAGAAAAGAAGACGAATTCGATTTGCATCTAGAAATTGGGATTCAGCTGGAGAGATATAATAACGTGGCAGCAAGAATCCGGAAGTTTTATTAAGAAAAATTGCAGGGGAAAAGTATGGATACGATGAGTCAGGAATTTTCATGCTACTTTTCATGGGAGGTGGCACTGGAATTTATTCAAAATTTTTGAATTCGTTGTATTTTAATAAATTGTATTGTAATTATTGAAGTTGCTCTCAAGAAAATCAATAAAATAGAAAATAAAACGTTATCCTATCAGACGAAATGATAAATACAACATGTATAAGTAGTGTCGGATATTCAGGAATTGAACGATGATACATGTGAAATGATATTAGCAAGCAGGGGAAGAAGAAGCAACTGGAAAAAAGAAAACATCTTCCTAGACTCCGCCCACTTTTTCTTCATCACCTTCATGCTCGGTTTACGTCAAGAAAGTGCGCGGGGAATAAATCCAAAATACAAAAAATATATAAGAAAGTAGTTTGACAGGAGACACTTCATTTTGTAGAGGGAACTCATCATCTCAGAATACAAATCACCACGCAGAAGAACTTTGGTATACTACATATGTATACTATCGTCGGAATTCTGAGAACAGAAAGTGGAGAACGCCTCCGGGGTCAACGAGAATTGCAAAAAAAATTCAAATATTCTGGAGAAAAAGAAAAAGGACAGTGCTAAGAAGGACGAGAAAATTCTAATTTTAATGCATAGAAATTGGAAGGAAAAAGGGAAAAGGAGATCAGATGACCAGGGAGGTGTTATTAGTTCTAGAAAAAATGGAAAAAGTGACGTATCATCTGATAATTAAACTATTCACAGTTCTCCATTAAAGAAAACAAGTGAATGGTTTCTTAGCAAGTGAGGTCATAAGTTGCAGATCGTAGAATTAGATAGTACCATTCGAGATAAACAAGGATACAAAGTTCTGCAGATGGTTTTCTTTGTATGCCAGTGGAATTGACACCTCTTCAATCTACATTGAACACTCTAAAAAAGCCCACCCAAAACTTCAAATTTGAGCTCAATTATCTGCATTCCTACGGAAGCTATCCAACATATGTCAACTGATAACATGCTTGTGATATTACGACAATCATCTCATCAGTTCACAGATTTTTGATATCTCTTATAGGAATTGAGATAATTGAGCTCAAATTTGACAGTATCGGCACCCTTCTAATACAAGTTTTACGGTACATGACCATGTTAAAACTGGTAAAAGGCAACAGGGGTTTCCACTTTTCAGAACTCTTCAAAAATTTAATGAATTTCGGAATCCATTTCAGTTTCCTCTCGAGAAGGTCTTTGGTTATTGAATACAAAAACTCAAAGGTTATCCCTGACTTCAAGATTCTGAAGACGTGCATTTTTCCGGGTTTCTTTGTTTGCTCATGGTTTTGGGAACGAACCAACAACTGCGTTTTTTTTCTCAAACAATGTTACGAACATCAAAAAATAATAGTAGGAGTTTTTAAAAGCAAACGTTACTGTAAACAGCACATATCTTGTTTTCTAGCTTTGTGAAATCTCCTTATTATTTTGGACAAAACACAAAAACAATGATAAAAACACAAAGTTTAAAGAGTATGAAAAAGAAGAAGAGAAAAAAGTGTGAAAAAGTTGAGATAGGTTCAAGTGGAGCTAATTTGAGACAATTTTACCTTCTCTCGACAAAGAGTATCCGTGACGTGATTTATCTGTCTGCGTCTTTTCTCTCTCGGAAACCCGATACGTTTTTTGAAAAGTTGTAAGCCGAGAAACATCACATGGGACTGGCTTCTAGATTCGGAAAAGGGGCAAAGGCCGTTTTTTCCATACTTGTGGAAAAGATGGTCGGCCCGGGCCGGGCCGGGCCATGACCGGGCTGAGATTTTTCTGATAGCGGGCCGGGCCGGGCCGGAAAAAATTACACATGGCCAGCCCGCGGGCCGGCCCGCTTTTTGAAAATTTCGAAATTTTAGAGCAAATCATCATTTTTCATGATGGCTTTTTTCCTTAATAAATGAAAATCCACACTGGAGGACGATTCTGTCGAAAAAAAACTGTTTTGAGGTCGTTTTTAGAAAAAAATTTCATCCTTGGCTTAATGAAGTAAGGCTTCCATTCGGTCGGGATATTTAGCCGACCGACCGACCACCAACCCCGCCGACGGACAGCCATTTTTTTGCTAAAAATTCAATTAAATTGACTTTTTCGGATGGTTGTATGCATTTGGATTAATATTTTTGCTATTAAAAATATATTGGCACATTTGAAAAGTAACATTTTCGAAAAGTTGTCCTAGGCGGGCCGAGCGGGCCGGGCCGAGGGTTTTGAGGCAAGCGGGCCGGCCCGGCCATCCACATGTATGGTTTTTTCTCTCTGTTTAGCGTTCTTTTGGAATAACGAGTCGGTTTTTTTAGTGGAGAGGTAATCTTCCTCAAATCATGTATCGAATTTTTCGAAAAAAGATTTTAGGGATATCAGTCCAAAAGTAGCTTATTATTATAAAATTTAGGAATTTTAGATTTTCGTTGGATTGAATCTAAATGAAGAGTAGAGAGAGGGAGGATGAGATTCATGGCCTAAGAATCGTGAGAAGAGAAATGAAACTATGTGTCACATTGCTTCCTCGAATCACATTTCAAAAGTTTTAGCGGAGCTTAGGTCCGGTAGCGAAATACTTGAAGGCGCATTTAAAGGAACATGTATTTTCGTAATTAATTTCTGGCCCATTCTTTCGACTTTTCGAGTTTCATTGTTCCTATTTTTGCAGATTTCTGTTTAAAAAAGTAGTTCAAAATCAAAAAAAAATAGACCAGAAAATACTTTCGAAAAACACATAATCATTCAAATACGCATTTATAGATTTCACTTCCGGACCTAGTTGTAAGCTCAGCCCACCCTCGAATTTTGACATTAGACCAGAGAACTAGATGGAACACCAAAATCTAAATCCCTTTCTGGTTGATATTTTAATTCAATTGAACTAGGCACAAGATTCCAAAGTGCCCGAATCAAGGGTCACTTCTTATTTGCAAGTTGCTCTGAATTCTACGAAACTGAACGAAATTCAATTCTTTAAAAGTTTTCTACCCTTTGCAAATGTTTCGAGCCTTTTTTATTACTTCATTTGAATGAACAAATATTCAAAAGAATACTTTCATAGCTCTCCGTTCATTATATACCTATTCAAAGATAAAGAGAACACGAATTCCAATATTCTTGTACCTTAAAAAATAACAAAATAATAAAAAATAATTCATAAAAGTGTCAGACAACGCCCCTTCTTCTTCTTTATTCAAATGACTTCTTCATTTTTCCAGAAGACGTTTTGCTTCTCCTCGAATTCGATCCAGAACATCTTCTCATGTATCATCAAAAAAACACGAAGAATAACTTCAAAAAAGAGCCGTCATCGTATTTTGTAGTCATTAAAAGGATTTAGGACCTTGTTTCTTCGGATTTATTCTTTTCCCGATGGGGTTGAAAAGGACGGAGACGCGGAAAAAAGAAGAGGATGAATAGCTGGTAATGACAAGAAAAGAGAGATCCCACAGGGCACATAACCGAAATATATATGGATAAATGTAGTTGAAAAATAAAGAAGAAGAGCAAATGAGTCAAATAAATATGCAAATTTCTGGCAGAAAAAACGGAGAGGTAGACCCGTTTTACGTATATAATTCGCGGATCAATGCTCAAGCAAATAGTAAAAATTCATTTGAGGAATAGAAGAAGAAATGAATAATTAGATGATCTTCAAGAGACCACTTGGATTCTATAATGATCCGATAACGAACAAAACTGACGAGTCCGAAGATGTTACACTTCTTGGAGTGCTTCTTCAGAATAAATTAATTGAGTTATTCGTAATAAAAATCAGTACAAAACGATTAATCATCGAAGAGGGTACTAGACCTGATGTCACATTATGATATTCAGATGTTTTTATGTCTGGATATGAAGAAGACGGAGATGGACACCTACATGGAATAAAAAAAATGGATAGCACAAAAAGTTATTTCTTACGGAATAAGTCTAGAGCAGCAGAAGAACAACTATAGATTACAAAAATTTTAATTTTAATTTATTTGATATGGTTGAGTTAGTTCAAATGCCCAAAATAAGAGACCACACAACAACAATTTGTAGTAAAAAATCGGTTTTAAGCAAGTTTTTTTCCAACTTTACATGTGTCCTTACAACTTCGTTAGGCCTTAAATTAGAGAAAATATCGAAATTTAGCACTTTCTAAAAGTTAAATTCCTTTTTTAACAGGGAAAGATTTCTAGCAGATAATAGTTTGAAACACAAAAATATTACAGTAACTGAACGAAAGAAACTCTCAAAAAATCGAACAATTCGAGAAAATTTAGTTTGGAGTGAAAAAAGCTTCGCGGAAACCGGGTTTTTTTCAGTATAGAACTTTTCCAAAACGCGCTCCGCTGAACGAAACGCTTGCAGCTCAGATTCTCAATTGGAGAGAAACTGTGAACTATATTTGTACCTGAAATGCGGAAGAATATACAATTCGTTTTGGTCTGGATCAATGATAATTTTTCCAGACTATGGACTTTTCTCATTGAACAGCGCATGACTAGCTTTTTTTCAAAACTACACCTCCAGATGTAAGACTTTGACATACGTGATATCTGAATAGGACCTAAATCAAAAACTAAGTGAAATAAGCTTCATTCAAAAACGAATATCCTAGGAATGCGCGACAATCAGAAGTTGTTAAGATCAAAAAAGAAGAGAAAGAGAAAAAAGGGACGAATCGTCTAATCGTTTTCGAAATTCGATTATAAAAGTCAACGGATGTTGATTCGCATGATTCAGGAAAA